AAACATGTCATGTTATTAAAAGAAAATCGTGCAACAAGTGTGTATTGTTCCGTAAATGCATGAACGATTTTCTGATCATAAATATTCAGGTAACAATATTTCACAAAGTAGCTACGATATAATATGAGTAAATATTATCGGTAAATATATTATATTTTGAATTTCAGTATTTGATCATACATGTATTACATACATTAGACGTTGGATTATGAAATATAATATTATTATATTGTTTATCCGGCGGTTCGTCTTGCAATTAACAATCGAGTTTTATATATAGGTACCTACCAATACCGTACAACAGTTATACGAATCTGCGAAGTAGGTATGTACTTAATTTTAATAATGCAATTTCTTATAAATTTGACTTTCATAATAATTGATATTATAAGTGTATTTGATAAACAAATTCGGCGGTGGCGATACCGCGGAATACGGGCGCTGACGACCGGTTCAATTCTGATGACAATACGTAACTGGTCGGAATGTGAATATGGGTGGGTGGCCGTAAAAATATTTTTGCCCGGTAAATCAGCGTCTACATTAGTAAAAATATACCGTGTACAGGACATTCGGCGAAAAATTATTTTTTGCGTTTTAGTAAAAAGTTGTACGCGATAAAGACAGCGCACACAAACATTTTCTCCGCATATCCCACGCATACGACCCATCGGCAGGGGCAGTCAAACGGGACGGGGGAGGGAACGTGAAGGGATAAGAATATACTCCCCGTTATCTTATTTTTCTTAAATATTTATAATAATATATTATATCCTTATAGTTGTTAAAAAAAAAAGGTATAAATAATAATAGTTCTTAAAAATATCCTTACTCCCTTCTGTGCAAAAATCATTTAACCGCTACTGCCAGTCAGCTGCGGGTTTTTCGCTCCACCGCGACATGAATATATAATATAAAATTAATATCCGTTAGAACGATAAAACCACCGACTGCGCTTTTTCTCGTGCGACAACCGTGAGTCGTTCAAAAAATGATAATGCCACTTTCTTTTTCTTTTCTTTACTCCACTTTTGATTCAACTAGTTTGTTACCTGTTGGCAAACCGCACGTTCTTATAAGAGCAAATGTTCAGTGACTTTTTTTTTCTTAAATTTTACACTACGTGTTCCAATTCTGCGCTATTATTGTTCATTTGACTATTCTTTTTTCAAAGTACATATATATTACTGCAGGTGATAAAAAAAAAATAATAATTCTTATGCAATTGAAAATATATCCCCTTTGATATTTTTAAGTGATAAAAAATAATTTCGTGAAAATTTGGACTCGATAATTCCCTCATTCCGTGTTGAAAAATGGTTAAATTATGAGACATAAAAGTTTTCGACCAAAATCGTATCCTTCTCTTTTCGGCCGATTCACTTCACTTAATATAGTAATTACATTTTTAGGTATTATTGGAAAATGTAATGAACCAGACATATAACTGACAAAATCAAATAAAATATAATTTATTTTTAAATTTTTTTACGTTAACATTCTTACATTACACATAAATATGTTTAATAAAATATAATTCTCATTTTTTATAATACATATATACCTATCTCTCTCTCTCTCTCTATATATATATATATATATATAAATATTTTAAACTATAAGTATATAACATGTTGACATAAAAATACTGTTAATAAATCTTTTTACATGTATAAATTAAATAATAATTGAATATTTTATGCTTTTTAATATGTATGACATGCTTAGTAACTTAGTATTGTTTTGGCATAAAAGTGAATTGGTTATAGTAAACCAGCCGAAAAGGAAAGGGTATGATTTTGGTCAAAAAGGGTATCGCCTAAATTATGATACAAGTGGGTTATCAATTGTATAAATCAAACGTTAAGTAAAAGGTTTCGATACAATATCTCTAAAACTTAATATTTATAACATCCATTTTTAGGTATTTAATTATACTTTTATTTTATATAACCTAATGCATTTTATCTTCAACCTGTATAGTCAATTTTTTTTAAATTAAAGTAAAAAAATAATTATTTTATTTTCTAAATGGAAAGCTTGTGGCTTAACAAAGATGTTTATTTTATTTTTTTGTTTTTTTCTCAAAAGAAATCGGTGTGGGGAGGTATTTTAGGGTGATCATTGATTTTCTCAAGAATTTTCTCATCAAATGCGAAAAACCGAACAAAAACTGAGAAAAAATGGGAAAATGTACGAAATATATTGTTAAAACATTACGATTTTTTTTTTATCTATGGACAACTATTCTACTTTTAATTTTGCTCCAACTTATTATAATAGCAATATTTCTAAAAATAATTTGACTTGGAAAGTACTTAAGAGAGGTCATTTTTTGATTTTCTCAAGAGTTTTCTAAACAAATATGAAAAACCGGAAAAAAACCGAAGGAAAAACGGGAAAATGTAAGAAATGTAATTAGTTAAAAATATTACGACTTTCTATTTTCCTGTGGACAGCTTTTCTACCAGCAATTTTGCTTAAATTTATAACGACAGCAATGTTTTTAAAAGGAAATTTGACTGGGGAGGTACATTAGGAAGGTCATATTTTGATATTTTCAAGAGTTTTCCCAGCAAATTGAAAAACCAGAAAAAATATGAGAACATCAGGAAAAACGTAGGAAAAACTGGAAAATCGGTACATTAAAAACATATTATTACAGATTATATATAATAGCCATTTAATTATTTTACCGCAATATATTGTTGACAAAGCATCATTTTCAACTGAACTCCTTTCAGAATCGTTTTTTTTCGTTAACAATGGTTAATCGTTGCTAACAGATATACATTAAATTACCTATACCAGTGGCTGCACCCATCCTTATTATCCTAGGACATCTTTTTCCATATGAAATACATAACGAGTAAAATAGAATTTATATTACATTTTTAAATAGAATTATGTTTTAAAATGTATAATTCTAAATTATTTACGTAAATATTTTAGTTTTAATTTAGCATTGCCTTCCCTGTACATTTAATATTAATATTAAATATTTTACAGATATTGAAACTGGTCACGCTATCTATTGAAACTTTTATGGCCCACTACTTTTTTATTTTCATTTTGTTGACTTGGACTATATATGTACTTGTATTTAATCAATAGTGATACAAACGCAACACGCCCCATTCCTCTCGCCCGTCACTTTCTTATCGTAGCGGCCATTTCTTGCATCGTCTGCCAACGAGTGTTGCGCTGTGCTACCACGCCCATCAGTCATTGTTCAAAGGCCCCCGTAATAATACAACAATTGGCGAACTTTTAATAATTTGTATTATTTTACACGGTGGTCGTCGACGTGACGACCGGCCTAGTAGTAAACAGAGTAATATTTTTTTTTTGTTTGTGTTTCATTGGAACCCAGATAAAAGGCGTACATACGAAAAGCATTTAACCATTCGGCACTCGAAGGTGTACACTTACAGGTGAATAGAATTTAGATTAAAAAGTCATAGAGTTTGCACCCACAGAAAACAGTCAAACATATTATATTGTATAGGTACCATAATTAAAATAATGCAATTTAAAGAATAATCATCATGTAAATCATAGACCACTTAAATATTTTATAAAAATAACGACGGGATTATTCTAGTTTTTAAAATTATGATAAAATGTTAACTAAGTATGAACTATTATTTTCCGCAATAACCATTTATGATAACTAATCAAGTCATTAACATTATGGTTAGAGATATATTTATAACTGTGATTGCCATAATCCTAATAGACGCAGTTTCTTAACTTTAAGTCCATTAAAAACTTACATAAGAGCCACAATGAGCTAAGAAAGATTGAACAGTTTAGCAGTTCTATGTATTCAAAAATAATATCCTATTTTGTAAATATAATTAACAAACTTATTGCCGAAGCTTCTATAAAGGATTACCATTTGAAAATAAAGTAACAATAATAAACCGTTATTTTATATACATAGTTACTCATATAATTTCCTCATACATAATTAATTGTAAAACATATACAAGTAACGCAATAAAAATATTTCCGAAATCAAACCCCTAATTGGTGGCTCACATAAGGTTTATTTTGGAACTTTTGATACGATAATGAATTGTTTTTATTTACCATAGATTTAATAGACCATATCTTGGTAATATGAAACAAAAAAAAAATGAAATCTTATTTGTTAATTTGGTTACCTCGGTCAAGAAAGTACCCAAATTAAAATGTAAAATGGGTCCCAATTAGATAAAAAAAACAGAACATAATTGGGAGTTTAAATGATAATTGAAAAATAATAAAAATCAGAATCTCGCCCGTCATCTTTAAAGACCGTTGATCTCTGTCATCATAAAATGTAGTCTTTTTTATCATTTTATTGTATATAAATAGGGCAATACAAAACTAAATGCAAAAACACTAAGCATCTACTCAAATTGTTACTTATTAGTGATAAATGTTTTTATCGTTATAAATATTATCTGTTGTAACCCAACGCAAATTATAATAGGCACATATTTCCTTTCCGTGATTTATGATAATGGTCTTATGTATATAAAATATTATTCATTCTCAACTATATAATATAATCATTTTAGAGGTTAGATTAACTAAAAACTATCAATAAATTTATAATTTTTGACAAACACAAACTTTTCTTAAATAATCAATAAAAAAAAGTTTTATCAAATGTTATTTATCTAAATTTTTGTCATTTATTAAACACACGTTTTACTATCAATGCATACTTTTATCATAAATATTGAAATAACGGAACAAATAAATCACTATTTTATTCAGTGCATATTATATTGTAGTGTATTACAATGTGCATGATAAAAAATGATAAGGATAATTTACTTAACTATGATAAGGGTGGAGATAGAAAATCACGGGAAACACGATGAAACATGTTATTATTATTTTTTGTTCAATACTATGCATGCTGTTCGGAAAAATTATTATTTTAATATACTACTGAATTTTATATAGGTTTTAAAGACACTTTCTAAATTATTATGAATTACTCAATGGATGAAGATGAACAATACTTTAGCGATACGGTAAGTTTTTTAAGGAAGTTGTCCATCTGAGTGCGGGTACCGTTTTTGTCCTAAAATTACCATAGGTCATTTAAGTGAGTTTTATTCTCAATAATTTTATAGTGAACGAACTGTCACGCCCAAGGGCACCCTAAGTCTAAGAAAATGTTGGGGGGACATCCTTAATTTGTATTAATAATCAAACGCTTTTATTAGTATATTATATCTGTGTATTTTTAAAAATGTTCAAGGTATTATATAATACACTTATAGTAACTAATTAAACACAAATTACAATTTTATTTTATTTTCCCCAAATTCACCAACAAAATTTTATGCTTAAGTAAGTTCTTAGACCTTTTTCTGATGTAAACTAAACATATAAAATCCGGATTTTGTATGTTAAAACGTTTTTCACACATTAGATAACTGTAAGTCAACCGTCCATTAAAATATCCACAAATGATTGGCTGTAGTGGTTGGTATCAACTTCAAAGCATAGGCATAAATCATTGTATAATGTGGTAATAAATTAGCAGAATTCTATTATCACGAAGTATACCTACCGACTAAGTAGCAAACGGTGTATTATTATAGTATTGATAAATATCAATATACCTTGGTACTAATAATCCATTTTGGGATTTTGAGACATTGAATTTGAGTATAATTATTTTAACTTGCTGGAAAACTAAGGGGGAGTTGTCCCTCTACCCCTTCTATGGTGCCCTTGGACATACCTGCTCGGTATATGAAACTTTAACCTCCTGTTTGCTTCTTACTTGATGACTGATACTAAATCAATGAAGTCGATGTTCTAAGTGAGAACTTCAAACTTATTCACTGAAAAACTTCACCAGGTTTAGATAGAGTAGGATGGGGAAATTTTAAAAACTACGTTGCGTAAATCACAGAAATCGAATAATAATTTATTTTATATTTATTGTATCTGCTTGTGAAACAATCATATATCTATCGCGCTTATTTTGACTGTGGGAATAATTATTCTCTTCTGCAACTATTAACCTATCATCTATCTATAACTAGCTAGCATAGCGGGTTCAAATCTTAGATCTAGGATTAAATTGAAACGCACTTAAATGACCCATTTCCGTTTTTAATAAAACATAATAATATGTCAGTATTCGGATTTTTATTTACTTATTTTATTTATAATATAGAACAGTGACGGTAATGATAGTCAAATAAGAATCAATGCTATTAATATGTATAATCGCTACATTGAACCGGACCTTGGATATTTAAGCAATACAGTACACATAATATACCGATGATGGGTATTACTTATTACTTATAAGTTATTAGGTTTAGATTCTGAGCCTAATAGGGAATTTATTGATTTTATCATGTTGTCTGTTTTGACTGTGGATAATTTTTCATCGAAAAACCTTGATCCGATCATCAAAGGTAGCATCTTTTTCTTAAAGCAAATTTTTATCTAGTTGGTACATAGAGGAGGAATATTTATATGATTTTTCTTATAATTTTTTTTTTAAGAATTGAGAAAAACCAAGAAAAAACTTAGAGAAACCATGAAAACTTACGCAATAACAGTTTTCGCTATTTTCAACTGTTTTTGTTGAACATTTGTAAAGTTACAACAATTGTTGTAACTTGACTTTTCTCCCAGAATATTTATATTAGCTCTTTCTAGACGTAGTCAAATTTTCAAAATATTTTAGCATTTTCGAGTTTTTTTAGTTTTCTATATGATTCACCGTCGATAAAATTATGTTGTTAGAGCAGTAATGTTTAAAAATTTAACACTAATTTCAACATAAGTAATACTTAGTTAACAGTAAAAAAAAGATTATATAGACATACTTCACATAGTCAGTAGACCACTGTTGTAGGTGAAAAGTTGGGAATGTAAAGAAGAAATTTAACGTATAAATATTTAACGTTAAACTGTAAGCAGTTATTAAACATTGCTAACGAAAAAAGATTCTGAGTGGAGTTCGGTTAATAGTGTTACATTATCAATTATCATTAACAATATGTATGTCATATTATGGTACAATATATGTATAATATTCTGTTCTTAACAGATAAAGAAATTATAACAATAATAACATTATTTTATAACCAATACATTCCTCGCTCCACTCAGAATGTAAAAAAAGTTGTGTTTTAATTTTATAAAAATCGTAAAAATCAAATATTACAATATTCATGTTTATCCTATCTACGCTAAGAATTGTTTTTCGTTTACGATAATTTATCATTGCGTAAAGACTTAAATTCTATATCTCTATGTATTTTACCTTCTCAACTATTCACCCACAACAGTCACATACCCGTCAGCAGTATCAGCTCTTTTTTAAATTATAAGCAGAATACGGAATGTATTGGTTTTACAATGATGTTTTTTTTTTTTTTTATCTGTGAACAATTTTTCTACCAGCAAATTTGCTCTTATTTTCAATTATAGTACTTTTCTGAAAGAAAACCCGACTAGGAATGGTACTCGAAGAAAGCCATTTTTTGATATTTCCAGCTATTTTCTCGGAAAAACCGGGAACAAACGTAAGAAAATGGTAAAATTTACGAAATGTAATATTTTTAAATATTATGGATTTTTAAAACATGTGCAACCGAATTTCGCTGAGAATCGTTTTTCGTAACAAAGTTTAATCGTTGCGTACAGATATACATTAATTTCCACTCTACATTCTACCTTCCCAACTTCTCATTTACAATAGTGGCCCACCTATTGTGTGAAGTATGTCAGTATCTTTTAATTTATTGAGAAAAATTAATAGATAATAATTACATATATATCATTGTTTTCTTATCATGAATCAGTAGTTTTAAGAATTTGATTTCAGTTTTTTTTAGATTCTGAGCTGAGCGAGGAATGTATTAATTAAACGAGGTTTTTTTTTTTTTTATCTGTGAACAACTTTTCTACCAGCAAATTTGTTAAGATTTTCAGTTCTAGTACTTTTTCTGAAAAGAAATCTGACTGGGATTGTACTTTAAAGATGTTAACGCTTTTTTTTATTTTCCTAGCTGTTTTTATAAAAAATAGGAATAACGAAAAAATAGGTACAATATTAAACAAATATTAGTAAAGAAAATATAAAACGCATATATAATTATTTTACTATAATATTACATATATATATATTGCTGATAAATCAACACTATTATCCGAACTCCGCTCAGAATAGTTTTTCTTTAGCAATGGTTAATATACATTAAATTTACCCTTTACCTTCCTAATTTCTTAACTAAAACAGTGCCCCCCCACATTCGAAGTATGTCCGTCTTTTTTTAAAATTATTATGAAATTATTTTTTTTTTTAATTTTAAATAAAATATATTTTTACTATTTTCAATATTTTACCTCTTCTTATTATACCTGAAATGAGTATCTACTTTGGATTTTTAAATAGCAATCACCCCCCCTCTTTTTCAATATCTGATTCAAATAGAGAACATTTTTTAAACACATTTTGATATTGGAGATAATAGATGCATGTTTGTTTTTAAATAATAAATTTATAACTTCTCCCTGCTTCTTCAGTCTAAACTTTTAACTATTATAATTAGAGAGCGGATTTATATTCTCTTATAAACCACAAAAAGGTGCTTTAAAACATCAAAATATCTCCGAAAAAAAGTAATTACAAATATTTAAAAAATCAAAAATGATAGAGGAGTTAAAAAGTCCCTCTTTAAGCGAATTTAACTTATAAAACAACATTTTTGTGGTGTTAGATTCTAAGATTAGAAGAGAATATAAATCTGCTTTCTAATTATAACTCATAAATGGTATATCTAATATAAGTGTTATGCATATATCAATATTTCTTGAAAAATATTCTTTATTTGAATTTGTATTTGAACAGGGTGAAAAGTTGCTATTTAAAAATCCAAAACGGATACTAATTTAGGATGTAAAGAGTAGGGGTAAAAATTGAAAATAATTTTAAAATAAAGCTTAAATAATTCCTTAATGATTAAAAAAAATAAAACAAAAATCGAATTAACTTAAAATCCTCTAAGAAAATGTCATGATAAATGTATCACTGTCTATAATTTAAAGAACATATAATAATTTAGAGCGATTCGTCTTCGTATTCTACTGGTTATAGTGCACACATAACATATTCAAGGGAAGTTCAGGCTAATGCATTGATCATACGATGCACGATAACCCAATATCATGCAGATGAAAGTATGCAAATGATGGCTATACGGCATTTAATTAGAATCTCATTTTCGAGAGAAGCATGGTACAATGATGAATTTAGTGATTCCGTATCCATGATTAGCGATAATCAAGAAGAAGAAGAAGATAGACATGCAGAAGAAGAGGATTATGACGAAGATGAAGATAATGAAGAGGAAGATGACAAAGAGGAAGACGACGAAGTTGACAAAGAGGAAGATGACGGAGAGGAAAAAGAGGAAGATGATGAAGAGGAGAAAGGTGACGAAAAAGTATATGAGGAAGAAAACGAATATGAAGAAAACGAAACATATGACGAAGAAGAAGATGAAGACAAAGGAACCGATACATATGAAAAAAAAGAAGACGAAAACGAAAAAAACAAAACATATGAAGCAGACAACGAAGAAGAACAATATGAAGGAGAGAGAGAATATGAGAGATATGTCTGCTACTGTGTTTGTATTATGTACCTTCCAATAAAGTTAATAGATTATTATTTTATGTATTTATTTACTAATTACTTTGTAGGGTTATGTGGCTGACAGCGGCAGATATTCCCGGAAAATATTTTTTTGGCAAGAAAGCGAAAATTCTATTAGTATGTATATTAAATATGTATGTTTAAAATAAAATATATTCGTTAAACTTTATTATAATATTTGGACAGGTCGTGATGAATTTTTCGGAGAATCCTCACCAACAGTTGAAGTACAACAAGAGGTACCTAGAATTCAGAAACAACGTTTGGATTGGGATGTCGAGTGTGACGGTGAACTATCCAATAAAAAATTTAAAAAATCATAAAATTTGACCCCTTACGCTTGTTATATATTTTTAAATATTTTAAATAAAGTATGTTAATCTAATGTTAATTTCATTATAGCATTACTATTTATTTTGTCTTGAAAAAAATACACAAATATTTTGAATTATTCATGTATAGTCATTAAAATTTAAAAAAATATGATTGAGCTGAATGCAATATGTAGTACAACATACCTCTTTTTACGCACTTAGAATACTACCAAAATAAATAATAATATAATAAATAAATAGCACTAAAAGTTGGAAAATATGAAAAAATAATTCTCGATTAAATTTTCCGATATTTCAGTATGATGCGATTGACATGATTTTAAAACTAATCAACTAATTGGAAACGAATGGAACTATCCGATAGGATCGGCGAACACAGTTACTTTTCAACCGTTCCAACCAGATGTTTTAATAAATTAACATGTTTTCTCAGAAAAAAATTCACAAAGACTTATTTTCCCTTTCACGTTCATTTTTCCCAGGGTAATTTTTTGTACAGTGATGTTCCGACTCCCGAGGGGAATTTGTGTTCCTTTCAATTTTATATACGTGCATTCAGCCATCTTTCGGAGATTGCGTTGCCCTCGATGATTCACTGTTCTTTGTCATTTTCACCCTCTGTTTAGAATGTTTTATAATATATGGTTACCATATAGTTCTATATGTATATAATAATATTTATATTTAAGAGGGATGCCGTCATACACGAGGGGAAAATGTTCATTTGGGATAAATCAGCCGCTCTACAACGTAGTTGGAGATTTTAATGATATTTACAAACGAAATTATATTGACCCACACACGCTCGACAGAATAATATAATAATGTTTGTGTGCAACTACCATAAACATCGACGCACAAAATCGAATAGCTATTACTGAGTATTATACATTTTTAGCCTAAGATTATTGTGTATTTTTTATATTATATTGTGTAATTGTTATTTATAGTCAAATTAAGCATTTTACAAAATGCCTAGACAAACAGTCCAATAATTAAATTTGTACAAGATTTTACTATTCATGTAGACATTTAATTAAATGCCGAAACGTTCACTAAATGCCTATTTCAAGTCAGGCAAATAATACAAATGTTTTTATTAATTATTTAATCAACAATGTAAAATGTAATCTTAAAAAAAAAAAACCTAATTATTAACAAACACTTTATCTTACACTGATGATAAAAAAAAATGAGTAAGAAAATAAAATACATTTCATTAAAATCGTCTAAACGTGACCCTTTAAATTATTTATTATAAAGTACTATTAAACGCGGGAAGACACTAAAGTACCAGACAATGAATCGCACCGTTACCTCTTCCTATTATCATCGTTAAATGCATGGTTTTAATTCAGTAGGTAGCAGGGTTCTCGTCGAATGGAGGGGATAATACCGCTTATAAACTAACCTTATTTAGGACAGTACACATTTCTGGTTAAAACACGAAAGAACAACAACGTTGATTTTGAACGTAATTGAACACTGTTTCGCTGTTTGTCATATACATGCATTCAACAAGTATGAAAATTTTGATTTTTTTTTAGATTCTAAGTGGAGTGAAAAATGTATTGATTTTACAAAGATATTTATTTTTTTTATGTGAACACTTTTTCTTACAGAAATCTTACTCCAATGTATACGATATAGACCCTTTTATAATAGATAATTTTCTTAGGGTGGTACTTTAAGGAAATTATTTTTCGATTTCTTAAGAGTTTTCACATCAAATGTGAAAAGACGAAAAAAAACGGGAAAATGTACGAAATATATTAGTAAAATATTATAATTTTTTTTTCTGTGGACAACTTTTCTACCGGCAATTTTGCTCCGATTTACAATGATATCAATTTTTCTGAAAGTAAATTTGACCGGGAAAGTAGAAAGTACTTTAAGGTAGTGGTTTTTTGATTTACGTAGAAAAAACCGGAAAACCGAATGAATACTAAATAAATATTATTAAAAAAATATTTATAATGCTTATTTAATTATTTCATCATAATATGACATATATTATGAAAAATAATTAATTAATTGCCCTATTGCACTCAAATAGTACACTGATATTCGTAGATACTTGAGCCGTGCAAGAGAAATGCAGTGATTTTAATGATAGCAAATACAATGGAGCAATTTGCTAGTTGGCGATTTCATAGACTGTGTTTTAGTGTTTTCATTCATATAGTCAAATCCATTCGTTCGTTCATTCGTGCCATAGTTCGTCATTTCATTTTCCTTATTTCCCATTACAGATTTAATACATAGCATGGACTGCCCAAATGTACAAGATAACCTTATCAAAAAGTCTGATGATAAAGTCAATACCTTGGGAAAAAGTTCCCAATATACAATCAGTGACATCGTATGGGCTAAGCTGTCTTCATATCCAATTTGGCCAAGCATTGTCACATGTGATATTAAAACTAAAATAAGAGGTTACAGAAAACGTAATTATATAATATATTTATTACAAATATAACTATGAGTTTTAATATTTTCTATAATTCTTAACATTATTATAGTAGTATACTCAATTTGTTTCGTTTTTAACTGAAATTTTTCAGAAAATTTATAAAACGACGATGTTTAAGAAGACGCTACAACAAGTATTTGTTGTCTCTATTTTACAAACACACGACGTTTGCGTTTAGCAGAACTAGCTTTTTAAAATAGGTTTTTTTTATATACCTATTAATTATTAAAAGAAATAGTAATAAATTTAATACAAACGAAGTTCAAGAAATTATTTAATCAACAAATGTAATTATTAATCAAAACTCTTTCCAATAAAATAATAAATTATATTTGCAAAAAGAAGGTTTAGTTATAGGTGGACCTTTAAGTGCTCTTTTATCTGAAATTTACATACAAAATTATTTGAATTAACTACTTAAACAAAATAAATAATAACATTAGATTTACACTCGAAATACAAATAAATAGTACATTTAATTTCTTAGTTTCCATTATAAAGAATAAATTTGATTTAGGATAGGTTTTTAGGATAACTATACTCCAAATTCAGAATATATTTTGTTATTAGGTAAATTGCAGCAAAAGCGGTTTCTTTATTTCGATTTTTTTTTTTTGTAATTACATTAAAAATAATCGTAACTGTACTAGATATTACTTATATTAAAATTTTCTTGTCGTGGTAAAGTTTTCAAAACATTCTGTCGATTTTAGAGTTATTAATTGGATATTTTTAAGTTTCTATAATTTTTATTTGGTTTTATGCGAATAAAACTTTGTTGGCCAATCAGACTCGCTTACAAATTGTACACGAGATTTATCATAATATTATGTTTAATTTATTGCCAAAAAAAATTAGCGTAAAGTAATAGTATTTATATATACGCGTTTTAAAGTTTAAATTTGAATTGAAATCGTAAAAATCATGTAATTTCGCGTATTATGTTTGGATATATAGGTAATTTTATTGGCTAGAGGACTTTGTTATTACTCAGTTTTGTTGGCTTATAGCTGAGTAATTATTAATCAAAACTATTACCTATGTAATAATAAATTATATTTTCAAAAAGAAGGGCTAATTATAGGTGGTCATTTAAACGCATTTTTATCTGAAATTTACATGCAAAATTATTAACAACAAAATATACATTTAATAAACAATACATTTGATTGAAATGAAACCTGCGCAAACTGATTATATAATACCACACGATTCTAATCACTCTTATTCTCAAAAATTATCATTTTTTTAAATCAATATTTTATAGGTTTGAACTTAATCCATTAAATAAATATAATTATCAATACGCGCTCATTATTATATACAATATAGCTCATAGAAATAATTTCAATTTTAATATTTTAAAAAAAATTTATAAACATATCAGAGAAAAAATGATACACAACTCACCAAATAATGTTATTAACTATTGTAGTATGAAATATTAAAATAATGTCTATTGAATTCGCTAAAATCCTGAACAATAATAGAAATAATGTAAAAATTACATTTAAGACTAATAATAATTTAATCAAACATATAAACAATAGAACTAAAAACCTAAATCCCCCTTCTTTTGAAAATATATATGAACCTTAATGTAACTGTAATAAATTGTATATAAGTAAGACAAATAGAAATTTTAAAATAATATATAAAAACACATTTTTGAAATAAAATTTAAAAAGATTGCCCCTAATTCAAATTTCGCTAAACATGTTTTAGAAAATAACCATAATATAAGCTTTGAAATTAATACAAACTTAGAGATATTAAATACCCAAAATAACATTTATATTAATTCAGTTTTAGAAGAAGAACATATATAAAATGAAATTAAAAAAAATCATTTTTATAATAAAATTTTTTTAAATAGACAAACTGATTTATATATAATATCTTATAATATCTTACATCAGGGACTAGAACCGTACCGAAAATAACCGGATTCGGAACAGAAACCCTTTGAATATCGGGAACTGGAACTTCACCGCAACCTTAATTCAAATTAATTTTAAATCGTAACCTCACCGGAACACTTATTTAAATTTATTCAAAAACCAGAACTTAACCGCAATCCATACTTTTTTGCAAAAGATTTTTACGACTAATTTCGATTATATTATAATTCCATTAATATTATTTATATCTGTCATTCATAAACGGTAGATAATAAGAACTAAAGAAATACGTAAATCTATTATTATTATTATTAAATGGATTAATAATATCCAAATATAATCATCCTATACATTTTGTGCATAACAACTGAATGTTGATCAACTGGTAATGTAATAGGAATTCCCAAAAAAAAATAAAAGTCATTATTTACTGTTTGATTATGTACCTACAGATCTAGTTAATACAATAACAAGCAATAAAATTCTAAAAATATGGTTAATGTTTATAAATAACTAGGCATATTATGATTGTGTATTTTATAATATTATCGTTATTTGACGTTATCTAACGTACTGCACACAGTAGAAAATTGGTATTGATCCACCCAAATTAACGCCAACGAAACTTAACAAAAATGTCTTACATAAGTATAAAACTAAAATAGGAAACAGTTTTTATTATTTGAGAACCTAAAAGAAACTGAAACCTTAATTTTTATTATTTTGAAAACCGAAACCGAAATTTTGGTTTTTTTTATATCCAAAAAAAAAAAACCGACACTGAAATTTTAGTTTTTTCAGAACCAACATCAAAACCGGAACCTCCTTTTTTTTTACTAGGAACCAAGCTGGAACTAAAACCGCAGTATTCATTAAGGTTCCAGTCCCTGTCTTACATCAATACATTTAAGATATTAAATAATAACCAAATAATTTATACTTTTTAACATATCTATGTCTAATAATGACCCATTTTAAATAATCTTTGTTATTAAAATAAATTATTTCTATATAAAACGACCATTTTTTTTCTATGTATTATTTCATTTAATTTATATAATCAATCGCGTTTTACAATTTGACTGTGATATACCTAATTTTGAATTTTTAATTCGAAACCGGTCATATTTTTTATTTCTATATTTATACACATAAACACACTAATTACTAGGTAGTTTACCTGGTTTCACTCAGGGTGTGTAATGTCATAAATGACATGGATATGGCTATAGATTAAAAATACAGTCATAGTATTTGAAATATTAATTGTTTATATTTTTAATTATATATTAATAATAGAAGTAATTAGATAATTAGAGAAAAAACAATTTACAAATTATGGGTACCTATTTATATCTCATTTAGAGTTTAAAAACAAACTAGTTGAATATAAATATAATTTAATTGATTCAAAAATAATATCAACTTTGTTTTTTAATTTGGCAAAGTGATCTATTATGTTATTATTTAATAGGATATTATGAATATTCATAAGTGCCAAACAAGTGAAACATGCTTGCCCCAGTTGATTTCTCAAATAAGTTTTTAATCCAATAAGTTTAGAAAAGCAAAGAAATAATAATAAAGCAAAAACAAAACTAGATACAAAACCCTAAAAAGATAAATATACAGAGTTAAAATATTAATTTAACACATAATACTCATTATTTAGAAAAGTATTAACTTTATTTGAAATTTTCTTTTGGATAATGAGTTCAAATATACAAGAAATGTATTAAGATATTTTTCTTATAAAATACATTTGAATTCATAAAAAAAAATATCCTTATAGATTTCTGGTATTAAAAATTAGGTTTTTCATTTAAAAATCAAAAGTTGATACTGATTTAGAGTAGAAATAAAAATTGAAAATATCAGACTGCTGAAAAAATCAAGTTCTTAATATCTTAACTAATTTCCCAAATGAAAATTTCAAAAAAAATCAGTTTGTCTGTACTTATATAAAAACCTATTTGTAGTTTATGATGAATATGTTTCTGTGTTTTTAGTTTAATAAATCTAGTTATTATATATAATATCCAGTGGGTTTTACATATTATCCAATTATTTTACATATTAAATAAAACTTCTGTTTAGTCCAATAAATAACACATTTTTATTATATTACAAATTAAAATAAATAGGTGCCCCAAAATTTTCAGAATAAAATATTTTTATCAAAATACTAAAAAAAATTCATAACAATTGATTGAGGAATATTGTTTATTAATTTGATAATCTTAGACCTTCTCTATACTTCACAATATATATACTAGTAATTTTATTATTTGTTTTTTTAGTTTAATAAATTAATATCACTTATACTTAATTTTTTTTACTTAATTCAGTAACACCAAATTAAAATGGTAAATGGAAAGTAGGTAAAACTATGACAATATAAAATGTATCTATTTTTTTATAAATAAATATTTTTAATTAATAATGTGAAATAAAAGCATTAAGTTTTGATAAGTAAAATCATACATATCATATATCGTATTATACAATTTGGATACCATTTATTGTGAAACCAGTAGAAAGAGAAATAATTACAAGTAGGTCGTTTTTGTTAAGTGTTTTTAATATTGTTAGACAACAATTCGCTTTGGCAATAATTTGTTTGATCTACAATCCTTATTCAACAAGGTGTTTAAAGGTACTTAAGAAAATCCCGGCAATATTAAAACATACAGTGAAAGTAATGTGTATAATCAATGAATCATTATTCAATAGATTATTAAGTATCTAACATTCTTTTCAGTCAAAAAAAAAATATACCATGTACGATTCTGCCAATTTCGAGGTCAACACAACTGGGTTCAAAATGTAGAAACTAATTCGACAAAACAAGCGTTTATAGATAAACACTCACATTTTTTAGTAAGTCTTAAAACGTTTACCTAAAGTTTTGATCAATGTTTAAAAGATTACATTTTTCTAATATAATAAATCAATCGGTTGCATAATGTTTAAGATTTTAGTCTAAAATGATTTATTTCTATTTTCAATATTTTACATCCCCTGAATCAAATACATTTCTGATGAGATAATGTTTTTGTGATGTTTGTGATATATATATATATATGCGACGCGAACGGTTTTTGTTATGGCGTTTGGGTAATCGTTCAACCTAACCGGTCGACTATCGTAGGAGTTAGCTGACCAGTGTTCGTTCTGTGGCTGTAGCGCGAACTACTTTCTATGTCAGAATGTATTTTGATCTGATGTAATTATATTCAAATAAATCTACAAATCTTACATTGGCGACGAAGATAAAAAAAAATGGCATCGTATCTGGGAAGCCTAGCGCAATTTAATGTGAATATTGATACGTGGCAGATCTACCAGGAACAGTTGGACAGATTTTTGGAGGTTAATAAAATCAAGAATGATTTTCAGAAATCAGCTTTATTAAGCAGCATTGGTCAGGACGCTTACAAACTGTTACGTGATTTGTGTACGCCACAATTACCAAAAGAAAAAACTTTCGAGGAATTGTGTAGCTTGATGGAAAACCATTTTACTCCGAAAATAAACATTTTCCGGGAGCGAAATAATTTTTATGCGGCTAGTCAACACGATGGCGAATCAGTGGCCGATTTCACAGCAAGATTGAAGAATTTATCAACAAAGTGCAGTTTTGGCGCCAATCTCGAAAGTATTTTAATCGATAAATTTGTTTTCGGTTTAAAATCGGGGAAGATTAAGGACAGAATCTGCGAGGAAAAACCCACTGTAGAAACAACTTTTTCTCAAATTGTCGAAGTCACACTTGCGAAAGAATCGTACTTATCTAATGAGGCAGGTCAAGTTAACTGGATCAAGAACAAACAAGGACAACAATTTCGGCAAAAATTCCACGCGACGGGGGCGGAATACAAGAATTCCGGTTCGAGGCACGCGGATTGTAGAGATCGGGTTTCAAAGGATACAAGGGACCAAGGAGCGCAGAAACAGATCCATGGTCAATCCAAGAGAAGCAGAATTAATTCCAAGGTCGAGAGTCGGAGAATCAACAGTGCACCAGAGAACAATCAATGTCGAGTTTGCGGTAAGCAGCACACGGGGTTTCAGAATTGTAAATATAAAAATTATCGATGTAATCTTTGTGGTGTTATAGGACATTTAGCTTTAATGTGCAATAAATCAAAAAGTATAAATTTTTTGAATGTGGCGGTAGATGATGTTATTCATGAGAGTTTAATTTTGAATATGGAAACGAACGAGTTAAAACCTATTATTTTAGTTGTAAAAGTGAATGGTATTATGGTAAAGTCACAACTAGATTCGGGTTCAGGTTTAACAGTGATTTCGGAAAAAACTTTCTACGAACTGTTCAATAAAAATTCTATTTTAAGGAAGGTTTTTAAGAGTGTTAACGGTTACACTGGTGAAAAAATTAATGTTTTGGGTTTCTTTCTCGTGGAGATGGTTTTCAATGGTAAGACTTGCGAATATTTCAGCATTTTTGTAGTTGAGAAAGGAGGTCCAAATTTGTTAGGCAGGGATTTCATGGATAAATTTAACATAAAATTGACTAATATCAATATGTTAGATCATACCGAACCTAAATTAAAACAATTAAAAATTAAATATTCAAATTTATTNTTTTTCAAAAGTTAATAGAGCAACTTTTCCAAGGTTATGATTGTATAGCAAATTTTTTGGATGACATTATAATAACCGGACAAGACAGGGTAGAACATTTGAATAATCTGGACAAAGTATTTAACATTTTAAATGAGGCGGGTTTAAAAGTTAAATTGTCTAAATGTGAATTTTTTAAAAGTGAAATTGAGTATTTAGGTCATATCATTTCGGCGGTGGGTTTGCGTAAATGAGAAAATAAAGTTAGAGCGATCGCAGACGCGCCAGCACCGCGCAACACAACGCAAGTTAAATCTTTCGCGGGTATGGTAAATTATTATTCTAAATTCTTACCGAACGTTTCGATTATTATGAAACCTATTTATAATTTACTAACGAAAAATAAACATTTCTGTTAGACTCCGGATTGTCAGATAGCATTCGATAAAATTAAGGAATTGGTCATTTCAGATAAAGTTTTAGTGCATTTTAACCCAAGTTTCCCAATTATTTTAACGACCGATGCGTCTAACGATGGTATCGCGGGTTGTTTATCGCATAAAATGCCGGACGGTGATGAACGACCGATAAGTTTTATTTCGAGAACATTTATGCCAGCAGAAAATAATTATTCGATTACAGATAAAGAGGCTTTAGCTATTTTTTGGTCGGTTAGGAAATTATTCCAATACCTACAAAACCAAGTTTTCACAATTAGAACTGATCACAAACCTCTCATAGGGATTTTGGGAGAAAATAAAAATATTCCAACTATGGCATCTGCGAGATTTCAGAGGTGGGCAGTTTTTTTGGCTGGATTTCATTATAAACTCGAGTATATTAAAGGGAACGATAATTGCACGCCGGATTTACTTTCGAGATTACCAATTGAAGGAGACGTCGTTGCGGTCGATAGCGAATCGCAAAGTACGTATATGACATTTATAGAATCCGAATATTTTCCGATAAATCGTAACACAATTAAATTGCAAACTAACAGAGATAAGATTATCAGTAAAGTTTATTATTATGTGACTCATGGGTGGCCAAAATCGATTAACGATGATTTAAAACCATACAAGGACAGACATACCGATTTATCGGTAGAGCAAGGTTGTTTAATGTTAGGTTACAGAGTCGTAATATCGAGTAAATCGCGTAAACAGATTTTAGACGAGTTGCATAGTACGCATTTGGGTGTTGTCAAAATGAAGGCAGTCGCGAGATCGTATGTTTGGTGGCCCAAGATTGATGCTCAGATAGAAAATTTAGTTGAATCGTGTGATTTTTGTATGCAGCTAAGACAAAACCCTAGGAAGTCTGAGTTAATACCTTGGAATAGATCGAGTGGTGTTTGGCAGAGAGTTCATATAGACTTTTTCGGGCCATTCCATAATAGTTACTTTTTGGTAGTTTTAGACGCGTTCTCAAAGTGGTTAGAGGTGAAAGAGATGAGAAGTATTACGGCGAGCAATACTATTATCGAATTACGCGAGATATTTAGTAGATGGGGGTTACCTTTAACATTAGTGTCAGATAACGGCGCTCAATTAACGTCCCACGAATTTACTACGTTTTTAAAAAGTAATAGCATAGTACATTTGCGTACAGCCCCGGGACACCTTGCTACAAACGGTGCGGCTGAAAATGCAGTGAAAGCTACCAAACGCGCATTATCGGCAGCATTAGCGGATAAAAAAAATAAAAATTCGCTTAAGTTATATTAAACAAATTTCTTTTAGGTTATAGAATTGCGCCACATTCTACTACGGGTGAATCGCCGTCATTTTTAATGTTGGGCAGGAAACTACGTTGTAGGCTAGATTTACTTTACAAAACGGATCAGGAAGTGGTGTGTGAGAAACAAGATAGGGCGATAAAAAATTATAATGGTAGTAAAGAAAAAGTTTTTAATGTAGGTGATGAGGTAATAATTAAGTGTTATAAACCTGGGAGTAAGGAATCTTGGATAAGAGCAACAGTTAATATGGTCTTAGGTAATAAGAGTTACGAGTGTGAATCCAGCGAAGGTATTACGTACATTAGGCACGTTGATCAGATGATAAATGTTACACTAGTGAATACGGAATCACATTTTCAGGAGAGTGATAACGTGGGAAGTGCTCGTATAGATAAGGATAATGGTAAAGAAGCGAGGACCAAAAAAGTCCCAAGTAAATTAAAAGATTTTGTTTTAAATGTAAACTAATATTTCCATCCGTGTATATTTGTAGTTATATCATTGTTTTTTGTAATGGAATATTGTATATTTTATTTTGTTTTTTTTTTATTTGCTTAAACATTAATTTAAGAATTTAAAATTGTATTATTTTGTTTTTTTTCTTTTAAATAATGTTTAGTCTTAATGGGGAGGTGTGATATTTGTGATATATATATATATATATATATATATGCGACGCGAATAGTTTTTGTTATCGCATTTGGGTAATCGTTCAACCTAACCGGTCGGTCGACTATCGTAGGAGTTGGCTGGCCAGTGTTCGTTCTGTGGCTGTAGCGCGAACTACTTTCTATGTCAGAATGTATTTTGATCTGATGTAATTATATTCAAATAAATCTACAAATCTTACAGTTTTAATGTCAATATTGATTTTTAAATACATTTGCCTATCAAAAATATATGTTTCAATGTTTCCAAAAATAGTTTAAATTTCAAATTTTAATATAAAAAATGTTTGTACGCTACATTGAACAAAAATAAAATTAATGCATGGAATGCTGCTGTCCTGGAAGCAGATTATTTAATAACTCTAAACAAGTAAATCTATCTTATTAAACTGTTAAAAAATATGTAATCAACAATTTAAAAAAAACTACAAACATATAAAAATGAATTACATTTTTCAGAATGGAAAGAATGGAATACTTTTGTAACACTTACAGTTTAGATTTATTTAAAGAATTATTTGGATTTACATCAACATCCAAAAACTACTCTGGTTATTTAAACCTATGTGTACATGAAATTAAAGAATGGAAGAAGAAGAATAAGAGGCAAAAGATAATCTAATTTTTTTTCTAATTATAATTATTATTATGCTTTAACATATAAGATTATTATTATCAATATTATTTTAGTTAGAAATTTTATGATTTTTGAGGTTTTATCTTCATTGAAAGCTTTCTCTAGTTTGTCTAACATTAGTAAGGTATTTCTTATATTTTGGAATTCTGGACATTCTTGTATGATATGTTTGATACTTAGGGCAACTAGGCATTTGTTGCATATGGGTGCTGGATATTTACTAATGAGATATGAATGGATTAAGAAGGTATATCCAATTATTGCTCTTGTGATGGTGATTTCCTTGTATATCTTTAAATTATGTGGAGTATGCAATTTATCCATGATTTTTTAAATTCTTTTTAATTTATTAGACAATGTAACAGAGTCCCAATAATTTTTCGATGCTATTTTTATTCAATAATACCAATTACGAAAAAAATGCATCAAAAATGTTGATGCATATAGCAGATGACAACACATTAAACCTTGCAGCAAAATAGGTAACTTTTGAATACCATACAATTTCGTATTCTCGGAGTTTTAATATACCTGTTTTGTAAATTTATGATGGTTTAATAAAAAAAAAGTTACATTTATCTACCTATTAAGCGTAATATTATTTTCTATAGATTTACTATTAAACGTCCTACCACAAACAATACAACTATAATTTTAATTTATTTAATTAATAATTAATAATCACGGATATTCCGCTAGCAATATTAAATGAACTTGATGGAATTTTCTTTTGGAAAAGGTGATACACTCAATACATCGCAGAGTAGTGGCGTGCTAAGCGGGTAGGCCTGGTAGGTCCGGGCCTACGGTTTTCAAGTAGTTATTATTAATATTTTTTACATCATTATTTAATTTTTCAAGAAAAATAATTTTATATTTTTTGAACATGTCATAAAAGCTTTATCACAATTGTTAAGAAGATCAAAAAATAAATATGCCGCAGAAGTTAATGGATTTATTTTTGGTTATTAAATCAATTTCGATTGTTTGATATTATTTGTTTTAACATTTCTTAATAACCTTTTATCAACTATCAACGTATTTTCAATCCATTTACAATCTTCTTTTCTCGATATAATTAAATTTTTAAATTTTAAATTTGATGCTAATAACAAATAACAGAACTGCAATGTGTACGCTCAGATAAATTTTTAGTAACTTTTATAAAAAAAACTCAAATCATGGCTTCAAATATTTAAATATTAGTATGGATAATGATAAAAAAATAGACAGAATAATATAAATAGTACATTAACTGATTATATAATTACTTCAACAATTTGTTTAAAATGTAATAAAACTTCGACTGAAAAATTGCGAGTTATATATTTTACAGTAATAGATAATATATTGAATGGAATGAAGAAAAGATTTAACAAGAATTCTGAATCTCTAACTGCTATATCAGTATTCAATCCGATATCATTCAACTTTTCAAATGATAATTTTATTTTAAAGTGTACACATTGATGAGATGATAATTATTTCTCTAATCAAATAGTAATTCAAAGAAAATTATCGTAAAATATGTACAGTAGCTGTACAAATATCATGGAATTCTACAATGAAATATGCTTTATGGGGCAGTCATTTGGAGAAATTAAAAAGTTATTAAACGCATGTTAATTATATTTAATTACTAATAAGTTATAACCAAATATAAATATCCATATTATAACTATTACAAATTAAAAATAATAATCGTGGAGGAATTGTTCGCGTTTGGACGATGACAGTGGTGACAGGAGCGATCTTTTCGTTTGTTGTGTATAACTACACTGTAAATTTACGTACTATAAACTTCCACGCCTTGGTGTTATCATAGTAAAAAGAAAAGTTGTATTTGTGTGCTTGGCATTTATTCATATTCTAAGGTATGCATTTATTGTAAGTTATAATAATTTCGCAATTTTAATGCGCTTTCATTTAACATCAACTATTTTTATTTAATGTATTTTACCTTTTTCTCATAATTTATCAAACTTTATTTTAGAAAAATTGATTACAATTAATAAATCTAAAAATATTTTTTTATTACTTTTACTCATTTATAAAAAGTGTATGTAAGTGTTCTTTAAATTAAAATTTCTCAAACTTAATAAATAAAACATTTAAAATTTAATTTGAAAGGACTTGTAACCACAACATTCTTTGATGCATTATTATCTCCTGGTCCCTTGATTCGAATCACTTACACAACAGGGAGATTTGAGCCACTTTCCAACTTTAAGAAAGAAAGATGTAACACATATGGTTATATATCTTAAAAAATATCAAATTTATTTTTCAATAGTATGGGTCATGCTTTTTTTTAGACACCAATTACAGTTTTTTTATATCGTTTATGAAAGAAAGTATATTTATTTTTCAAAGGAGTTGTTTAACTGTCTAGGACTCCCCAATAATAAGAGTTAGGTTTGCATAATATGACCTATAATAAAAGTATATTTAATTTCAAGAAAACTAATGCTTTAATCAATTTTTGAAATAATAATTGCCATGATGATTAGGAGAAATTGGTTTCATAAGGTATTTGTATCACCTTATAAAAACTTAAAAGGCAACCCTAGGCTATAATGAAAATATTATTATTATTAGACGTACTTAGTAGTAATATTAGTTTATTAGAAAATAATTTTGAAGGCATTTTATACGGGTCATTTATGGGCTAATAACCTGTTAGTATAGTAATATAGTACTGTACTACTTGTTAATATAGTATATTATTAAGTAGGTATATCAATATTAGCAACCATACCAAACTATAATAACCATAAAAAAAATAATGTTCTATATATAAGTAATAAGTATATAATATTATAATAATTAATATAGGGTTTAAAACAATAATACTAATAAAGATTTTTAAAATGTATAAAATATTGTAATAGGTATTGGAAAAATTACAATATTTTTGTAAACAATCTTTTTATTTTATTTTAATTTTTGGTATATTTTTGTTTCCCCTATGTGGATTTTTTTAAAGTCTCTTTCATTTTCAGGGTTATTTGCTGTGAATGAAAGTTTGACGAGTGATTGCAAATTCAAAATTTATTGTTGTGTAATATCAAGGCTTGATGCATTACTGAACCACACAGGCGCAAATAATTAGACGTCGGTAAATTTTTATTTTTATCTTATCTAGATGAACAAGAATTAAATTGTTATCTAATAGAAATAATTAAACTATTCAGGTATTTAAATATTTTAAAATCATAATTTATATATTTATCAGAAATAGATAATAAGTAAACTATATATTTATTTTTTATTAATAATTAAATTATTAAGTTACATTAATCACAACCTTTATTCTAAATTTAGAAGTATATTACCTAATTTGGTACCTATAATTCTACTTGTTACTTTTTATTTTAATCATAGTTATAGCCTGATAGTTTTCTATGGGGAGGCTATAGCTTTAACAAAATATTTAGGTATATACATAGATACTATACATACCTACTCATGGATGATGTTATGGTGATGCTCCATTAAGAAAAAAATATTTGATAAAATAAAACACAAACATTTTAACTTGCATATAGATAAATTAAATTTAAAATAATTCATTGCAAAGAAAAATAAATAATTTGATGCTGATTTTATATTTTTTAAAATAAATGTGTTTTAACTAGTAATGGGAATCTGAAAATCCGGATTTTAAAAAAGAAAACGCTATTTAAACTCTCTAAAAATATTAAAAATATTAAATATTATTACAATATAAAGCTGTGTATCAATATTAAATATTTAGATAACAATTCGAAAAAAAAAAAACTCCAAAACTTTAACTACAAAATGCTTTCGGATTTCAACAAATCTAAAATCCAAAAATAGTTTAATTTTTTGGTATTATATTATATTTTTATATTTTCATAAAAAACATTTTACTTAAGTAGGTGCACAACTTTATATTGTACAAATATTTAACACTTGTATGATTTTTAAGTGACCTAAATTGCTGTTTATTGTGAGAACCTGAATTCTTGGATTCCCATCACTAGTTTTAACAGTACAAAAATTAAGCCAGTAAGACCTAAGAATAACAAATTAAATATTTAATATAAATAGGAATAATATTGTTTAATATGTTTTTTTCTATATGAATGAATGATAATTTTAATACTTAACATTGGTCATAACTAGGGCAGAGGACTTCT